CCTTTATGAACCTTGCAGTGCACATTTCGTGGCAGGCGCAGCACTTTGTGAACCTCGAAGTGCACATTTCGAGGCCGAGGCAGGCGCAGCACTTGGGCACATTTCGTGGCAGGCGCAGCGCTTTGTGAACCTCCACGTGCAGATTTCGTGGCAGGCGCAGCACTTTGTGAACCTCCAGGCGCAGATTTCGTGACAGGCGCAGCGCTTTGAAAGTTATGAACCTCGAAGTGGACATTTCGTGGCAGGCGCAGCACTTTGTGAACCTCCACGCGCAGATTTCGTGGCGTTGGTGAACCTCGAAGGGCAGATTTCGTGATAGGCGCAGCGCATTTGCGAACTCTGGCCACTGATTCGCGGTCGCTGATTCGCACCGCCGGTCGCTGATTCGGATCGCTGGTCGCTGATTCCGTGGTCGCTGATTCGGAAAAGCTGGTCGCTGATTCCTGGTCGCTGGTTCGTGGTCGCTGATTCGGACTGCTGGTCGCTGATTCGGATCGCTGGTCGCTGATTCCGTGGTCGCTGATTCGAAAAAACTGGTCGCTGATTCGCGAAATTTGGTCGCTGATTCCTGGTCGCTGATTCGTGATGACTGATTCGGACCGCTGGTGGCTGATTCGGAGTTATCTCCCTTGAAAGAATCCCAGCTTAAATAGTGGAAAACCACCACGTATTCCGCTTCCGTGATAACTTCAGGGAGGGCATCGTTCTACCCAAGGCCTGTCTTGGGCTGTGAGGCAGCTTTCGCTGCTCGTGAGAGCCTGCCGTTGGAGATGGTTTGAACAAAGGAACTGAACTAAGAATCTGGGCCCGAACCAATGGGAAGGGTTTTCAGGCTCCACGCCCCTGCTATGTAGGGTCCAAGGATTCTTAGGGCGTGCTTCCTACTTCTCTTCTCTTTTCAGAGACAGGGAAGAACCTTTGTGGTTGCGTCGGTCGAAGAACCCTCAGAAACAACAAGAAAAAGTGTTAACAAACCACCCGTTCACGCAGGATTTTCATCACCCCACCTTCTCTGCACTGCTCTCCCGCTCCTGTCCCAGTCACAGTCCTCTCCCTTGCACATCCCGCTAAGGCGCCATTCCAGCATGCGGATGCGGTACAGCTGGTATTGGACCTCTAATCGCTTTGGAGATAATTCGTTTGCGTACAATTTGCGCATGGCATGCAGTTGATGCTTTTACACCATTTCCCTTCATGTTCAAAGGGTAGTGGTCCTTTCTGGAGACAGGTTCTGATGACAAAGAAAGGACTTGTTCCACTGAGACTTCAAGTCTAACTAGGCGTTCATGCACGAGAAGAGAATCAAATCTGGCGTATCGCGCCTGACAGCCGCGTCTTGCTGTCCTAGCGCAGCGTGCAAATCTCGATGGATCCAAATCAAATATACTATGTCCAAATGAGATGGGACTTGTAAAATGTATGTCATCAACCACCAGTCCTATCTCATCAGCGTACAACCATGTTTCTAGAGCTTCCACAAATCCCATCTCATGAGGGAAATCAAGAAAGACATGCAAAGCGAGAATCACTAGAGATCACTCCAGGTGATCCAGCAGAGTGCACAGCTTTCTAGCTGCTGTAGGTTTGATGATTTGCTTTGTTTATGATACTTGCGATATAGAAATTATCTTGCCAGGGCACCTCACCCTCCCAAGAAAACACAAAACATAGATGTCCACAACCCGCAACTCCTATCCCATTGCAGTCTGTCAATGGAAGACACCAGCATTTTGCACATGTGAGATAGGACTAGTGGCCCAAAAGTCCCAACTCATTTTGGGACACTAGTCCTATCGTCTTATCTCATCTGAACCTAGTATAACTATTCGTAATTCGTAATGCGCAAACAGCTGGATGCCTCGTTTTCGCGGCTTGACTCAAAAGGGTACCCTGCGGCGGTCTCAGAATCAAATCAACCTTTGAAAAAGTGGGTGCCCGACTGGAGGTCACCACGCGCTATGTTTTGCAAAGCGCACGCACTACTTCACACCCGTGATTCTGTTGGCGTGGTGTACCGAATTTCTTTGAGAGCTAAAGGTCTAAAGTAGGTGGCTGGGCTCTTTGGCAAAATTCTTCATTCCTGGCCATGGAATCAGGCGAATCGTTGGAAGAACTCTGCAACCCTCTTCTTGGAGTCCTCCCTTGACTACGTGCTCTGTGGCAACACTCCGGTGTTGTCCTTGCAGAAAGGCATGACCAAAAGTTTCTTGCTCCTTGGGTCACGCAAGCCTCTCAGAAATCATTTCGTGGAAGAACTTGAACTTTTCTCCCATTTGGATGATGGTTCTTGGGGCGCACGCCCAAATGTCTACGTAGTGACTCTCTGCAGTCGAGCACCACAACCTCACTGCCCATGTAGCCAGTCATCATATCCTTGAAGTTGGACTTGAGGTCAAAGTTGAAGGCTTCAGCTGTCGATGCCAAGGCAGAATTAGGAGCCGTGTGTTAGCTTCTGCTGCTAGAACTGGTGGAAGTATCGTGACCGTTTTGAGCTCCTGTCGGCAACTCCGACATTCTCGATCCCGAAGTTGACAAGCCTGATTTGTTTGTCTTTCCAGCTCATGGGAACTTCTTCAGTCTTCAGCAGGAAGTGCAACAGAGATCCCAACATCCGGCGTCACGTCGAGCGAGATGTTCGCGACATTCTCCACGAAATGGCTGACGCAACACATAAGTAGTCCAGTGTGCCTGTTGCGAGCCAGTGGCAAACACTGACCTGTGTAGTCGAGCAAGCTGCAAACGCCACGCCTGACGCCCTTGATCAAACCCACCTTGCTTTGAGCGGGTAGTGACAGTAGAAGCGGCGCGTCACTCCCTTCAAGCTCGTTGGAGCATGCGTCCCATTGATGACAATTGCCCACTCGGTTCAATCTTCAGGCCAAAGCGTTTGCGAAATGCCCAGACACCTGAAACTTTGCATCCTCCGCCAACAACCTGCATCAACAACTTCCGCCAACATTTCCGCCTGCTGATGAAGCGGGTCATAGACTCTCCAGCTTGTCGAGCAAGAGGACCTCCGACGGCGGTTCGTGTCCGGTATAATAGCTCCGTTGCTTCGTCGGATGAGAAACACGGCTTTCCGCATGGTCTCAAACAATTCCAAAATTGCATCAGGCTTCTTCAGTTCCCTGGTGCCAAGGTCCTCGGCTACCGTGTATGCATCTCCTCTCAATCCCTCTACGGCTTCGGTACCAACTTCCCAGCGATCCTCGCCCGGTCGACTCGTACTTCATGGTGTCATAGTCGCGCGGAGCCCCTACTCGTGAAAGTTGCATCACCAGAATTCACCAGAGTACACCATGGTCAACTCGATGTCTCCGTGGGACTGCTTGAATCCTAGAGCATTGATTGCCATATTCTCTCTCTCTCTCTCTCTATGTCCCTCGCTGGGGTCACAGAGCCAGCTATTTTTGTCCTTTGCGAAGTCGCGCAGGTAGCCCTCAGCGCAAGGGCTTTGTGTGCGGCGAAAGCGGGTCTGGAGACCGAGCCAAACAGCTGGATGCCCTGCGGAGGTCACCACGCGCTATGCTTTGCAAAGTGCAACACGAAAACATGCACTACTTCACATGTAAAGATTCAGCAGAAACTTCATGTCACATTCTGACTTCTCTTCACGTCTTAACCATACTAGAACAGTTCTGCACCGCTGTCACAAGGACAGCAAGAACCGCCCGACCAAAAAAAACTCGCCCAGTTGCCTCCCTGCTGGAGAGCCCTGGCACGCTCCAGGGCCTGAACACTCTAAGCTTCGGCTGAGTGAAAAGTCCTTTTATGGGCCGATTCGAGGAAAGAAAGCTGCAAGAAGTTGGGCGGAAGAAGACCGGTCGCGTCTCATGACTCTGTGCAAAACTTTATGATCTTCATCAATGTCCACCGCCTGCTTTGCTCCAGCAAGCGTCGGCCTGATGGAACAAGAATCATACTCAGTGTCTCTTGTTCAAGCAAAAAATGCAATACTCCGTAAAGATAGATGGATATAAATTATACGAGGCTGACAAGCAAACTGTGCTACTAGAAATCCCGATCGGTCTTGATCTTATTCTGTATACAGAAAGATGCCTTCCTATTCTTATTGACATAGTACCAATAGACTACCTTTAGCCCGAATGCGCGTCAATACTCCAACATGGTGCCGCTAAAATGAACTGCACTGGGTTCCCGGCTCAACTTCAATATCAGGGTACCACTCTTTTTGTGGGGTGGGCCAAGCTCATTACGCCCGTTGTTTGGTGGACGTTCTTGGAAGACACTCGTGCAATTTGACATTCTTGGCAGACACTCTTTCGTGGAAAGCGCGTCGCAACAAAACACACCCAAAACATCCAATTCCGCTGACTGATACGCAAGGCACCCTTGTCGATCGAAGACACTCCGGGCTGCTGTGTGGCTTAACATTCAACCAGACATCTCAGCGAGAGGCGGGCGAGTGACAGCAAAGAGGAGCAGACAGACAGTGCTGTGGGGGCACCCAGTTTTCCTCACTCATCATGTTTGCAGCCAACCACCTGTCCCCACCAGGTCAACCGTATTTGATATTATCACAAATGGTTTTTATGTGCCGTGTAAAGTGGTCACGGCTAGGAGTTCATTCTCGGCCTCCACTTCACTGCCAATCGCCTTGGCCTCCGTCTCCTGTCGCAGTGGACACCGCGGTGTGACTTGTGTGACTTCTCCGATGACTTCTCTTGTGTGACACGCTTTAGGCTCTGGTGACTCTAGTGAAGTCAAAGCCAAAGCCATATGAACTTCGACTTGATTGGACTTTTGATTGGCGACGCTTCGATTGAGTTCCTTTTCTTTTGTGCTTGTACGGAAGGCATTGGACACTACAATTTATGAACGCCTTCAGTACACTTCATTCATGGTTTGACTTTCCCCCAAACAAGGAAAACCCTGGCGCTCCCACAGAAAAACACGGCAAGAAAACACCAGTCATAGAGGAAGAAGAGGACATCAACCAGCAGGGTTGAAACTTCAATCGCGCCTTTCGGAAGCCACAGCAGTGGGCTCCCATGGCTCAATGGCGCTCCCACAACCTACAAGTCCCCCACCCCAACACGAAGGATGTATCGCTTCTTTGCAAGTGTCTGGACTAGTTGTTCTTTGCATGCTGTGTTGCTGTGTGAGTGGTCATCAAATGTGAAGATGTTTCCTTCGGACTGGTAGACTCGCATGTTTGTGAAAAGTATGCATCTCCACTGCCAAGCTCATGGTGTGTTTTTCCGGAAGACTTCGAAAGACAGTGGAAGTGCCACCTTTTCGTCTTTCAACTGCTTCGAACAACATCCGTGAAACGTCCTTCTCGGCCCACGCAGAGGCCATGCGGAGGCGCCATCAGTCCGTCACGCCTGCTTGCTCGTCATCTCGTCCAGCTGTTGGATCTTGGTTCGGCTCGGTGCAATGGCCGAACGTCGAGCAAGGCGTCTGCAAGACCGATGTTGTTTTGCGGCTTTGAGGGGCCAAGCTTGGGGTGTTGTTTCGAACACAATGAGGCAAAAGCTGGAGTTGGATTGAACCACCTCCAAGCCTATCTGGGACATGGGACGGGCAAATGGTTCAATTTAAAATGCCTCCAATATGGTTCAATTCGAGGAACACAGAAAGTTTTGAGGTCGACGTCATCTTGAACTTGATCCAAGCTCTGGACAAAGAATTCAATGAAGGCTTCTGAACCCTCCCTGACTCTGGCAGATTCGAGCTTTCAACACCCAAAGCTCCACAGCCTCCACGGCTAAGGTCAAGGCCCAGCCAGTCTCCCAGTCTTCCTCCAAAGAGTCCATGTCCTTGTTCGATCAAAGCTCCAACGGCGAAGGTGGCAGAAAAGCGATTTCAGGCCCCTGAAAAGTAACGATTTCAAGGACCACGGACTGACCACGGGTCGGTCTTTCTGGAGCTGCAGATGTTGCAGTGTCTGGAGTCTGAAAGTACTGAGGCCCTTCGCAGATTCAAAACTCGATCCGAGAGCCTTCAAGCCCTGAAGGAGATGGCCGTCGGGCTTTCGTGGAGCTGTCGTAGATCCAATTCAAAATAAATCAACGCAACTCGGAGGATCGGTCATGCATGATAGGCCAACATGAACCGAAATGAACAATGGACTGTATTGGCTGCTTGACTTCTTGACTCGTTCGCTGTTCTACACAGTGGATTGAACGCCAGCCTCCAAAGATGCCACTTGCGGCTCCAGGTCTTCGTTCCGCCGTCCACGAGGTCCATCTCGAGCCTTTGCAAACAGTTCGCTTGCTAACAAACGCTTCTTCCTGAGAGTGCCTTGCCCTTCATACTCCAATTGAGTTTGTCTCCAAAGAAGGAGACCTCAGCAACCTTGATATTAAATACATATCTTTCTAACATGCCGACTTGAAGCAAGCGCAAGCACCGGCATTGTCTTGTGCCTCCATGCGTCTGCCAGGAGCTTGTCTGCCTCGCCTTCCAAAGTTAGTCTTTTCTCACTGTTTCTGTGTGAGCATGTCTTTGCGACCAAGTCTGACATGGACCAACAGTTACCTTAACTTGAATAGGGATATATAATAAGTGCATACCTTGCTCCCAAAGGTGTTCTTTGCCACAAGTATGGCTACGGATCAACTTCGCGGGACCCCGGTGAACGAAAAAATATAAGAAACACGAGGCATGCCAAGCTACCATGCAACCCACCATAGCAGCCCATGTCATAATCCCTCTCTTGTGTCAACCAGCTGATTTTCCCTCCTGCGTCGACTGGGACTTTCCAGTTCTGCAAACTCGGTGTCGGAGCCTGGGTGTCGAGGAAACATGGAGGTAACTGCTGTGAACTCGGTGCAAGGTGACCTTTGGGCGCAGACCGGAAAAGACCTTCTCCATCTTTCGGGCCCTGATCAAACTTTTGCGACATGGAGGTGTGTTCGAACTTCGGTCTTCCCATAAGGCCCAGCACCTAATGGATCCAACGGGAAACACACAGCATGCATCCGTTTTGCAGCCTTTCAACAGGACCACGCCCGGGTTTCTTCAGAATGGTAGCACCCTTTAGCCTGCGAGGTGCAGCAAAAAAAGGTCAGACCAGCATGTGTTACAGACTGTTTTTGTCCTTCGGAGGCTTTTCACACTCATGCTTCTGTCGAAGGCACCAATGTGGAAATGATTTCGGGTGATTGATGAAAACACTGCTCCCAAATCGAACAACTGATCTTCGGATGCCTGCGGATCTCCTTCGGAGTAAGCATCCGGTATTCCCCAGCCTAACAAACAACATCTCTTTGCTTCGCTACTTCTGACGTTGGCACCTTCATAAAATGGCCTTCAGCTCTTTATCCAAGCCGACCAACCCAAACCTGAGAGTCTGCGTTTCCCTTTCTAAGACAAGATTCTTTACCAAGCAAAGTCAGAGATTCTTTCCAAGCGAATCTCTCATATCTTGCTCTAGCAAAGGCTGCAGCTGTGTTCTCTTCACTGCCTGAATCGCTGAATAATGCTTTTGCAAGCCCGCTTTCTGGTGCAGCCGTTTCTCTTCAAAACTTGTAAGGTGACATAAGACGACAAGTGATGTACTCTGATCGGATGCCCAATGTACTCAAACATCCTCAGGATTTGCCGGTACCTGCGATGGCTGAATTTGCAGAATTCTTCAGACATTGCCAACAGCTGCGCAGGCCTTCCTTCTTTCATGATGAAGCTAAGAGTTGCAATGCCTGTGTTCCGATCATGTTCCAAGACCTGCGAGGCAGCACAGCGAAGGTCCAAGGGGAGCATCGTCCACAGAACCAATACTGCCAATACAGTAGTAGCAAGAAGCTACTAGTAACAAGTGTATTGCTACTAGTAACAAGTGCCTTACTACTAGTAGGAAGACAACATCATATTTCATGCTCAACTGTAACTCAAGTTACCACTGGATCGCCGATGAGGGAACAGAGCGGAAGCTCTGGAGCAGCACCTCCAGCTCTTCCAAAGGAAGACAAGGCCGCCCTTCATCCGGCAGCCTCAAGCCTTTCTGAAGAGCCTGGATTTGAACGCACTACCACCAGTTCAAAACGGCGCTGGTGGCACCAGTTCACCATACTTCATCACTTCACGGAGAAATTCATGTCACTACTCTGGCGGTTTCGGAACGATTACGATCTCGTTCGGTGGTGAGACTGGCGCTGTCCTGCAGCCGCTGGGTGTCGGGCGCACCGTTGTAAACCACGACCTGAGAGGGCGGTGCTCATATTGTGGCTTCTACTTTTCCCAGCAAGGTCAATGAAGCACCAAGATTGAGCTTAGAGGACAATGGTGGAGAAAAGTACAATATATATATATATTCATACCTAAGCTGTTTCTAACAATTCTTGGCACTCTGCACTCTGTACAAACGTTGTCTTCCGATGCACGACTGCACTTTCGTTTCACCAGCGCCCTGGCGCGGTACCGCCTTGGCGTCTCGTACCGCGGGTGCGCCTGGCGCAGGGCAGGAGTGCTTGTGCTATTAGCAGGGGACCTATCTCTTGGTGGACCAATGTCTTCCACTGGAAGTATACCCTTTGAGAAAGTGGTATAGTGAAAGTCGTTTTAAGCAAACACCAAGTTGAGAAACAACAAATGCTGTCTTTGAGGTGACCGTGATTGGAGGATTGGACAACTTTTTCGGTCTGAGCACCGGGCAAGGACAGTGTGCCACTCGTAATCATTGGTCAAAAACATGATGCCTTGGCATTTGGGACTGGACAGTTAGGGTGCGGCAATTGGACATTCTCTTCGTGGAAGTCTCAGCTTTGAGCCAGTTGAATTTCTTTCGAGTCTTCCAATTGGCCTTAGGTTAAGAGTGTTTTTAAAGACAGGGTGCTTTGCCAATGAGTTTTGCTGTAATTGAGTAGCTGGCACCAGCCGCCTGTTCTTTGCAAAAGGCACTAGGTCAGTAAGGCACTTGCGGCCTTGTGGGTCCTTGCCAATAGGAAAGCATTGATCACTTTGCCAAAAGTCGGCAGAAAATGCGCGAAAATCAGCACATTGCTGTTCGAGTGGACTTTCAGCCACTCCACCGGTCGAAAGTTATTCGACATGTTCGGCAGCCTCCATTGTGCTCAGCACGTCCTGGCAACCACAGGACGTTGTTGTTCTTTTCATGCCCTGTGACTGTGGGTCGTGGAGTCAGGAATATCTTCATGGACTTTGAAGGACCCTGAAGTCACAAACAACCCTCAGCACATGATGCCCTGGTGAACACCAATACCCTCCCGACACACCGCGGCCCCACTCAGCGAGGAACCACGATCTGTAAGCCCGCCCAGCTATCAAATCCAGCCTACAAGTAGCCCCAATAAATGACCAGAATCACCAAAGGAGAGAAGAAAACTGGACTTCCTGGTTGCACTTTGAGTTCCATGCATTTACTTCAGTTTGTGGCGCTGCCCAAGGGGTGAAAGCTTGTGTGAAGCCAAAGCGAGGAAGAGAAGATGAGAAAACAAAGGAAGAAGAGAGATGAAAAACTGGAAATTTATAAAGATAAGGTTGGTTGGTTGTTTGATTGTTTGTTTGTGTGTCCGTGTTGCTGGCCCTTGTTCTTGGTTAGCTTTATCATGTTTTGTCTTGTTTTGGTTGGCTCCTTGTGTCTCGGTGAAGTATGATGGGCCAGAAGATTCCCGGAAGACATCTTCGTGGAAACGATGCTGGAGTCTGTGCCTTCAAAGGCCTCGGGCAACCGTGAGGGTAAAGGAAGTCACCAAGCTTCCTTTTTGGGGGTGATGCGGTGATGATGGCTCTCAGGATCCTTTTCGGTGAAAAAGCTCTGGATGTGTGATGTGAAAAGAGTGGGGGGTCACACAAAGAAGTGTGAGAAAAACAGGAGATAAGGCCACATCCCAATTTCACCGCATGGACAAAGGCAAGAGACACGAGGCAAACCTCAAAGGGAAAGACAAATGAGATTAACAGAAAAAAATATGTTATGTATGCTGTATACGTCTTGTTCCGTTCCTATGAGGCCAAGTGGTTTTGTTTCCTTCCTCTTTCCTTCTTTCTGGTTTTCTCAAGAACCCATTCTTGGAACTTTCGACTAGAACTGATATGAACCTCGTCTCAACAATTCTGGAGAGTTAACGAG